GATATGCACCAGATCAAAGCAAGCATTTGATATAGTAGTACTAACTGGAAATGAGGATCGCTTGTGTTTTGCAAACTGACAGACATCACAAGCCAACTTTCTATTATTTGATGCAGGAATATCACAAAGCAAATGAATTTTATTGGAGGGATAGTGCCCCAAACGTTGATGCCAAAGATCAATACTACACTGCATAACAAACTGATTACAAGTATTAGTGGGGGGTATACTAAGCAAATAGAGCCCTTTCTCTTCTTTAGCAAATCCAATCGTCCTCCCATGGACCCTCAGATGGCACTGATCAGAAGTAAATATTAACGAGTGAGGTGAATTTTTCAATAACTTGCTAGCAGAAACAATATTGAAGTTAAAAGATGGGATGTGCAACACTTCTTTCAACCATATATCCCCAGTCAGTTTAATTCTTCCCACATGTTCCACAGTAACACGATCTCCATTAGGTAAGCTCACCATCATTCCCTCAATAGTGTGATAATCATAAAAAAAAAACTCAATAGAACAAGCTATATGATCAGTTGCTCCTGAATCTAAAATCCATGTTGAGGGAGACAGACTAACAGAATTAATGCAAGAGAGATCAGAAAACTTGCCTTCATTGTAGAGTTCAGGCTTATTGAACTTTGGTATGAGAGACACAGCTGCTGTGGTGGAAGTCTGACCATGTCCTACCTGAGCTTGCAGAAGTGTGATTAATTTCTGAATCTGTTCAGATGATACATTACTGTCAGAAGAAACTGCTGCAGTTTGCTGTTTGCCCTTCGATTTGTAGCCTGGTATCCACCCCGGTGGGTATCCATGCTTTTTGTAGCATTTCTCGATGGTGTGCCCGGTCATGCCACAAAATATGCACTTAGCGCTTTTGTTTCCACCATTTGAATTAAAATTCTTCCTGCTGTTGAAGTTATTTAAAGCTGCAATCATCTCATCTGTGGAGTTCTGTGTAGTTTGCATGGCATTTGCATGACTGATTTCTATAGTTCCGGTGCTCAGTTTAGTGATGGCTAGCTGTCTCTCGTACTTTTCGTCCACAACAAATACCTTGTGCATCTCAGGTAGGGGATCGAGAACAAGCACACCGGATTTGAGAGAATTGTAATCTTCGTCTAATCCTTGTAAGAATCGGATGATTTGATCAATCTCTCGATCATTTCTGATCTCATCAGCTAGATCACACTTGCAGATCGGAAGCGGTCTCAGCGAGTTCATCTCCTCCCACAAGGTGCGGCACTTGGTGTAATAGTCATTCACAGAGAGACCTCCTTGTTTCAGATTATATATTTCGTTCTGGAGAATCGAGATCCGATGCGGATCTCGTTGTGAAAATCGTCTTCGTAGATTATTCCAGATGTCCTTAGCCTTCTCCATATACATTACACTTTGAGCTATTGACGGATGGAGAGACCTCAGAATCCACGAACAAATTATCATATTACATCTTCTCCACGATGAGTACTGAGCGTGATTCTTCTCCGGCATGGCAACACTTCCGTCGACGAGACTCCATTTGTTCTTGACTTCTAGGGCCACACGCATAGAAATGCTCCAGGATCCATAATTTCCACTACCTGTGAGTGGAGGACTCACGAGAATCGCGTTCGGATTCTCATTGATGTTCAGATAGAGTGGATTCTCGATGTTGTCGAGGCTAGTGCTCCTCTGCGGAACAGAATTTCCTTGCGGATCAGCTGCGAAGGGAGTATGAACAAGATGTTCATCGTTTGGTGTTGCCGGAAAAGGATGAGTTCTCTGGCTAGACTCATCGGTGTCGGTCAATGCGGCGGCGTAGCTGCTTGGCCAGTGCTCTGATACCATATCGGAAAACAGAGATGAAGCTCACGGCTGTTTGAGTTGGGTGAAAGGAAAGAGAGACATAAAGAATGGTAACTGTTTCATTAATCTAGAAGAGAGGAACAAGAAGACTATTTATACAGAGATATGGCGGGAAGGGAAGTTATAACAAACTTATTCCCCTTCTTAACAGAAGAGATTACAGGCTTGCTATGGCTCTTCTCTACGCATTCATCATTTGCAGTTCCATGCGTCAAAAGGAGATGGTGAAGATGATGATCAGGAGCGGCGCGGTGCTGAGAGATGACTAACGATGTCTTTGAAAAAGGGAACGGCGATGGAGTTGCTTCCATCTCCGTTGAGGTTCTGCGATCCTCCGCATGCGATCAAGAACTAGTGCTTACGTCCAGTGCTGTCGGGTACCATGTCGAAGAAGAGACGCCTTAACAATGAGGTTGAATTGATTAGATTTTTCTCAAGCTGATAACTGATAACGTATTGTAAATTATCACTGAGGCCTGAACCCACAATCTTTCATGTGGGAGTTTAACTTGGTGTTATTGGATCACAAGATAATCTATTAGCTAATCTATATCTATATCTATATCTATATCTATATCACTAATAAAAACAAAGCCCTACTTTTGCTATTTCCCGCCTAAACTACCTCCCAAGCTATTACTGTATAAAATTTAATAATTATTATGGTAATTAAGCTAATAATAATTATACAAATATTAGTATAATTGACTAATAATTATTATAGTAATTAAGCTTAATAATTACCATAATTAAACATGGATTCTTGATTTTTTTTAATTATTACAATTATTTTTTTATAATGTGTGTGTGTATATATAATTGCATAATATTAGTATAATTGACTAATAATTATTATGTTAATTAAGCTAATAATAATTGTATAAATATTAGTATAATTACAATTAAATATGGGTAGTTGAATTTTTTATATATAATAATTACAATTAATTCATTCAGATATTGAGGTGGAAGAAAAAAGTAAATTTGATATAATAAAAAGAATTATACTTAAGGTATAAAAGTATATATAATTGCACATATATTAATTAGTTTATTGCCTAATAATTATTATGGTAATTAAGTTAAACATGGGTCGTTGGATTTATTTTTATAATAATTACAATTATAATAATAATAATAATAATTTCAATTATGAGTTAATTTCATTTTTGGTCCTATATTTATTGGTGGCGTTCCACTTTAGTCTTCTTTTTTTTTTTTTTCAAAACATCCTATATTGGTCCTAGTTTTATTGTGGTATGATCATTTTTTGTCCTCCGTTAATAAAACCGTTAAGTTAGAGTTAACTATGGGAATATTTTTGTCTTTTTTATACGAAGTGTATATTTTTATTTGTATTTTTATTGAGTTAATACATCTATTGGTCCTCCGAGTATTAGCGATATACCAGCCCTGGTTATCCAACTTTTAAACAACTATGAGTAGTTCTCTGTCTTTTTTAAAATAACCACATGTGGTCCTCCGTTAGGGTTGCTGTCAAGTGTACGTTAAGGGTTGAGGGCAAACATGTCATTTCCCATTTTTTATTCCTAATGCTGCAACGCTTAGACTAGTTTCCCCCAATTTAATTTCCCCTAAATTGGTTAGCCCTAATCTGCGAATTGACGAAGGAGAGACGACGACTGATGCGAACTACGAACTCGACCAACTTCTGCTAATCAGCTTGACGACCCCATCTCCATAGAAAGCGAAGAGCACCCAGTCGACGAAGTAGAGAAGCAGCACTCTTCGAAGTAGCTATTGACATGACTACAAGTAATGAAGGTAAGGTTTATATATATGTTTTGGAATGTGCATTCAGCTGTGTATTTTAATGCAAATGTGGTACCCACATGATTATTGGACTTATATATGTTGTGAGAAAGTATTTGGGACCATGTTGTTTGGTTTAAGTTTTGTTTAACTTTAGCAGGTGGGTGGGGATCATGTGTTGTTGGTGTGTGTTTAAGTTTAGCAGGTGGGTGTGTGGGAAAGTGTTCTTTGTATAACTTTATGTTAGAGATAAGAACAAAGAGGTATGTTTTATTGACTGAAAACTTAAGAAAATGAACAGGAAGTCATAAGACCTTCCCCACAAGAGTATTAGGTTCTTGCCCAGCTACTTAGAGCTTCAAAGACTAAGGTAAAGAATCTGATGCCCTACTCTCTTCTAGAGATTCTGATTTATAGTACTAGGAAATAAATAATTATAGAAAGGAGATGATTGCTGAGATGATTGTTGAGATGATTATGCCTCTCTTTATTTGTCAAAACCCTTGAGTGAAGCCTTCCCATGTATATCCTGATTTGCCTGATTTGCATCCTTCCTTTTTCTGCGTGAGTAAACCATCCATCCTTTTGGATGCGTATCATTGCCACCCTCCAAAGAAACAACCTTGTCCCCAAGGTTGGAGTGAGGAAACTGACCGTTGAAGTCAGATACGCTACAGTATTCAGCCCAATGGAGGAAGCGTCCCCATTGCTTTGGTTGTTCAGAAGTCATACACCCATAGTTATCACGGCGCCCTGTTAAGTCGCGGCGCCCCCCGACCGACTTGTCGCCTAGGCGACTAGGCGACAAGTTAGGAAGAACAATATATATATAATTATATATATTATATATAATTATATATATATTAATATATATCTAAAGTTTAAACATGCTAAAGTCTAAACTCTAAACAATTAAACATATTCAAGTATTCAAGCATTCAACATATTAAGGTACCAAGTTACCAACTACATAACACACGAGTAACACAACTGCACAAGTAGAATACTAGAATAATCAACAAGACAACAATATCCAAGTTCAAAGTCTCAAAGGTCCATCAAGAAGTCATCAATATTTGTTTCTCTCTCATTGCCATCATTACTATCTTCATTTCCCACTTCATCATCATCTTGAACATCATCCTCATCTTCAATATCTTCATCATCATTAGGAAAATGCTCTTCTTCATTTTGTTCTTCCTCATCTATCCTAGAACTAGAAGGAGTACTAGTAGAAGCATTGCGGCGTCGTGAATAGCTCAACATTTGTGCACGTGAACCTTCCCAACGCGTGAGCTCTTGTAGAAAGATGAGAGCCCTCAAGGTTGTTTGATGCACCAATTGCTTCATCAACATGCCTCCATGAAAGATCACCCCCGGGATGAACATCATCACTAGATTCACCACCATTAATCCATTCATTGTCCCATTGGAACTCTTCTAAGACCAATGGATTAAAGTTGGAGCCTTGTTCACGCATCTTTTGAAACCTACTTGCAATTTTGCGATTGTATTGAACATAAACCAAGTCGTTCAATCTCTTATGCTCTAAGCGGTTTCTTTTCTTTGTATGGATCTAAAAAAGTAAAAGTAGAAACATAAACAAGTTTAAAATTCTTGTATTAAAATTTTAGATAAATTATATTTTCTATCATACTATTTACTATTTACTAATTAGGAAAACTATACTTACAAATTCAAATGTGCTCCAATTGCGCTCACAACCGGAAGATGAACAACAAAGGCTTGTGATGCGCATTGCTAGTGTTTGAAGCTCAATGCTAAGTCCACCAAAAGCATTCCACCAATCAACTACAAAATAAGTTTAAGATTTATCATATTTAATTTAATATACTTTGTACTTAGTGTGTTAGTAGTTATTTACTTAGTATGATAGTATTACTTACGAGGAGTCTTTGCTTTTTGTTGCTTGACTGCTAATGGCATTCCAAAGTCGTTCCTCATGTTATCGTAGTTATCTGCTTGATTGATGATCTTCACTTGCAAGTCATCATCGCCAATCATCTTATGAAGTATTGTATTGAACATGGCTCGTTGCTTACGAGCACATGTACTATCCGTCGCCTTAAGGTCAAAGTATTTAGAAGGATTTAAAAATAAGGCGGCTCCATATAAATCCACTCCCATCTGATCATCCCATCTTCGTTCTACAATAGCCATCAACTTTCCAAACAACCTTGGCTTGCTTGCAAATGATTCATTGAGCTTTTTCTTAGCAGCCAACATAGCCATCGTAAGCTCGGGCATAGCTGGAGTACTATCAGCATCAACGATCCTCAACACAATCAAAATGGGATGTGATGCCCTCAAGCAATCCTCAACCGCAGTCCAAAATCTATACGACAACACGATCTCACACACCGTTTTACCCGCTTCGGTGTTGGATAATTTTGAGCGAACCCAATCTTCACTAACAAATAGAGCTCTCAAAGCATTTTTGTGCTTGTACAAACTCTGTAAAGTGAGGAATGCTGTGGCGAATCAGTAGCGCCAGCTCTTACAAGATCTTGCCCACCCGTATGCTCTCTCATGGCACTAAGGATTCGCCCATGTCTATAAATAAAAGTGGTAATATTTCTACCACTTGCAATCTTGGACTTGAACTCCATCATCTTCCCAATGTCCTCTAGCATGAGGTCAAGACAGTGTGCTGCACAAGGAGTCCAAAATAATGTCCGAATCCTCTCCTCCAAAAGTTTGCCCGCGGCTTTATAGATTGCTCCATTGCCGGTCACTATTTGAATGACATTTTCTTTCCCAACTTCTTCATCTTTTTGCTCCAACAATCCAGCTAACATTCTTGCATCGTGTGACTCACTCGATGCATCAACCGACTCCAAGAAAAAAGTCCCCTCGGGACTATTCACAAGAAAATTAATCAGATGTCTACCTCTTTTATCGGTCCACCCATCAGACATGAGTGTGCACCCGTATTGCTTCCAAGCAAGTCTATGTCTTTCTTTCAACTTATCAGTCACTTGCTTTGAGTCCAAAAGGAGGGGTACTCGTAACTCATGAAAGCTAGGAGGCTTCAATCCCAGCCCCCATTGTCCAATTGATTCAACCATTACTTCAAAGCTTCTTGAATTAGCCGCATTAAATGGTATGCCATTCTCATAAAAAAAAACTGCTATATGTAGCATTGTCCTCTTTGTTTCTTCCTTACTCTTCGTACAAGCCTCAATTGTTCTTTGAGTAGGACCCTTGGAATGCCTCTCATCAACTACTTCTTCAGGGGTCTTTCTAAGTAGTGATGCAACTGATTGAGTTTTTTTTCCTACTCTCGGTTGCGGTTCTGCAAATCTCAACATGTATATCCTGATTTGCCTGATTTGCATCCTTCCTTTTTCTGCGTGAGTAAACCATCCATCCTTTTGGATGCGTATCATTGCCACCCTCCAAAGAAACAACCTTGTCCCCAAGGTTGGAGTGAGGAAACTGACCGTTGAAGTCAGATACGCTACAGTATTCAGCCCAATGGAGGAAGCGTCCCCATTGCTTTGGTTGTTCAGAAGTCATACACCCATAGTTATCACGGCGCCCTGTTAAGTCGCGGCGCCCCCCGACCGACTTGTCGCCTAGGCGACTAGGCGACAAGTTAGGAAGAACAATATATATATAATTATATATATTATATATAATTATATATATATTAATATATATCTAAAGTTTAAACATGCTAAAGTCTAAACTCTAAACAATTAAACATATTCAAGTATTCAAGCATTCAACATATTAAGGTACCAAGTTACCAACTACATAACACACGAGTAACACAACTGCACAAGTAGAATACTAGAATAATCAACAAGACAACAATATCCAAGTTCAAAGTCTCAAAGGTCCATCAAGAAGTCATCAATATTTGTTTCTCTCTCATTGCCATCATTACTATCTTCATTTCCCACTTCATCATCATCTTGAACATCATCCTCATCTTCAATATCTTCATCATCATTAGGAAAATGCTCTTCTTCATTTTGTTCTTCCTCATCTATCCTAGAACTAGAAGGAGTACTAGTAGAAGCATTGCGGCGTCGTGAATAGCTCAACATTTGTGCACGTGAACCTTCCCAACGCGTGAGCTCTTGTAGAAAGATGAGAGCCCTCAAGGTTGTTTGATGCACCAATTGCTTCATCAACATGCCTCCATGAAAGATCACCCCCGGGATGAACATCATCACTAGATTCACCACCATTAATCCATTCATTGTCCCATTGGAACTCTTCTAAGACCAATGGATTAAAGTTGGAGCCTTGTTCACGCATCTTTTGAAACCTACTTGCAATTTTGCGATTGTATTGAACATAAACCAAGTCGTTCAATCTCTTATGCTCTAAGCGGTTTCTTTTCTTTGTATGGATCTAAAAAAGTAAAAGTAGAAACATAAACAAGTTTAAAATTCTTGTATTAAAATTTTAGATAAATTATATTTTCTATCATACTATTTACTATTTACTAATTAGGAAAACTATACTTACAAATTCAAATGTGCTCCAATTGCGCTCACAACCGGAAGATGAACAACAAAGGCTTGTGATGCGCATTGCTAGTGTTTGAAGCTCAATGCTAAGTCCACCAAAAGCATTCCACCAATCAACTACAAAATAAGTTTAAGATTTATCATATTTAATTTAATATACTTTGTACTTAGTGTGTTAGTAGTTATTTACTTAGTATGATAGTATTACTTACGATGAGTCTTTGCTTTTTGTTGCTTGACTGCTAATGGCATTCCAAAGTCGTTCCTCATGTTATCGTAGTTATCTGCTTGATTGATGATCTTCACTTGCAAGTCATCATCGCCAATCATCTTATGAAGTATTGTATTGAACATGGCTCGTTGCTTACGAGCACATGTACTATCCGTCGCCTTAAGGTCAAAGTATTTAGAAGGATTTAAAAATAAGGCGGCTCCATATAAATCCACTCCCATCTGATCATCCCATCTTCGTTCTACAATAGCCATCAACTTTCCAAACAACCTTGGCTTGCTTGCAAATGATTCATTGAGCTTTTTCTTAGCAGCCAACATAGCCATCGTAAGCTCGGGCATAGCTGGAGTACTATCAGCATCAACGATCCTCAACACAATCAAAATGGGATGTGATGCCCTCAAGCAATCCTCAACCGCAGTCCAAAATCTATACGACAACACGATCTCACACACCGTTTTACCCGCTTCGGTGTTGGATAATTTTGAGCGAACCCAATCTTCACTAACAAATAGAGCTCTCAAAGCATTTTTGTGCTTGTACAAACTCTGTAAAGTGAGGAATGCTGTGGCGAATCAGTAGCGCCAGCTCTTACAAGATCTTGCCCACCCGTATGCTCTCTCATGGCACTAAGGATTCGCCCATGTCTATAAATAAAAGTGGTAATATTTCTACCACTTGCAATCTTGGACTTGAACTCCATCATCTTCCCAATGTCCTCTAGCATGAGGTCAAGACAGTGTGCTGCACAAGGAGTCCAAAATAATGTCCGAATCCTCTCCTCCAAAAGTTTGCCCGCGGCTTTATAGATTGCTCCATTGCCGGTCACTATTTGAATGACATTTTCTTTCCCAACTTCTTCAACTTTTTGCTCCAACAATCCAGCTAACATTCTTGCATCGTGTGACTCACTCGATGCATCAACCGACTCCAAGAAAAAAGTCCCCTCGGGACTATTCACAAGAAAATTAATCAGATGTCTACCTCTTTTATCGGTCCACCCATCAGACATGAGTGTGCACCCGTATTGCTTCCAAGCAAGTCTATGTCTTTCTTTCAACTTATCAGTCACTTGCTTTGAGTCCAAAAGGAGGGGTACTCGTAACTCATGAAAGCTAGGAGGCTTCAATCCCAGCCCCCATTGTCCAATTGATTCAACCATTACTTCAAAGCTTCTTGAATTAGCCGCATTAAATGGTATGCCATTCTCATAAAAAAAAACTGCTATATGTAGCATTGTCCTCTTTGTTTCTTCCTTACTCTTCGTACAAGCCTCAATTGTTCTTTGAGTAGGACCCTTGGAATGCCTCTCATCAACTACTTCTTCAGGGGTCTTTCTAAGTAGTGATGCAACTGATTGAGTTTTTTTTCCTACTCTCGGTTGCGGTTCTACAAATCTCAACATGGTTTGTTTTCTCTTACTAGCCGTCCCAGAACTTGGATAAGTAACGGAATCGTGAGATGATGGTTGTGTTTCTTCCCTTGCCGATTCTTGCACATCATCATCCACATTATCATCCAAGACCACCCTTGATCTCTTCATTCTTGATGTGCCTTGCATATATTGTTGCATTTCCCTCATAATCTCTGTAGTTGTTTTGGGGCATTTAGCAACATCTCCGTAACCCGCCGCCAAGTGTTGTTTTAGTCTTTGATTCCCGAATGCATTTGTTTGTGGCAAAGTGAACATTAGACTAAATCTTTGTTTGCCAAGTCCGGCCAAAAACCATACTTCCATCCCGGATCATTTGATTTAGCTTTCCTCTTAGGGTCGGTAGATGGATCATAGCTCTCATTTTCTGAATTTGCAGCCATAATTGAGTGTAATCCTACTGTCCAACCATGAAACAATGTACAATTTTTTTAAAAAAATTAAAAAAAAAAATAAAAGTAATGACCAAGTGGCAGGCAGTGAGCACTGCCTCTGCTCACTGCCCCAACGTGGCCATAAGGCCATTAATGGCTAAATACCAAACAAAGTCATTTGACTCATTTTTTTGGTATATAAAGCCACTACAAATGAAAACAAAGAGAAAACAAACAAAAAAAGAAGAAGAAAAATCGATGAAGTGACGAACACTCGAACAACGAAGAAGAAAGAAGAAATCAGGAAACAACTCACAGGGAAACGGTGGTCCGGCGACGGCGGTGGTCCGGCGATGGCGGTGGTCCGTGGGCGACTGCAATGGAGGGAGGGAGGGCCGGCGTCTGCGTCTAGGAGTCGCACTGTTGAAGACTTGCGTTTCTGACTAAGGTCGCAGAGTCGCAGCAGTTTCTTGCGTTTTTTACTAAGTCTCGACTTTCTATTTCTTAACTTAGGGTTTTTTTATTATTAGTTGTTACTTACCTTAAAAAAAAAAAAAAAAAAAAATGGGCCGGGTTTCCGGGTTGGACGACGGATTGGCGTCCAAGGCATCGCCTGGGACGCCATGGCGACGCCTTGTCGATGCCATTGCTCGACTCGCCCCTTTCAGGCTAGTCGAGCCCTCCAGGCGTCCTGTCTCCACCGACAGGACGCCAAGTCGTCGCCTAGGCGACGCCATGATAACTATGCATACACCGCAAATACTGCTGCAGGCATCGATTGAGGATTTCTGACTGGCCGTCCGTTTGAGGGTGGTATGCAGTGCTCAAACGCAACTTGGTGCCCCATTTGTCAAAAAATTCTGTCCAGAGGTTGGAGTAAACCTCTGGTGCCATGGTGTCATACTTATTCTTTTGACACACTAGGCATTCAGCTACGAATTGTTGCGTTCGCTTCATCCACCGGAGCCAATGTAGAGCCGGTCCTTGCATACTGATAAAGGCTGTTGGAACCTTCAGATCTTCCCGGGTGTGATGTATGGCGAAATATTGCTCCACTCTGGGCAACCATCCGATTGGGTCGCCACCATAAAATGTAGGAAGTTCCAATCTTCCGGTGGGAAGTGTGGTGTTGTCGGGAGGAGCCAATCGTTCTGACGAGGGGTTGGAATCAATTGTTGGGACTGCTACCGATGACGCACTGGCATCGCCCTGCCCTTTGCTTTGGAGGGAGAGAGCGAGGAGGTCGGACATCCTAGCCACAGAAGCTTCTACGGCTGCAAATCGATCCGTCAATGTAGTCAATTCAGTACGGATTGCATCTTGGTTATTCTCTAACGTCTCTATGCGGGAATCACTTGTGTTCTCCATTCAACGGCATGTCGGATTAATTTGTTAGAGATAAGAACAAAGAGGTATGTTTTATTGACTGAAAACTTAAGAAAAGGAACAGGAAGTCATAAGACCTTCCCCACAAGAGTATTAGGCTCTTGCCCAGCTACTTAGAGGTTCAAAGACTAAGGTAAAGAATCTGATGCCCTACTCTCTTCTAGTGATTCTGATTTGTAGTACTAGGAAATAAATAATTATAGAAAGGAGATGATTGCTAAGATGATTGTTGAGATGATTATGCCTCTCTTTATTTGTCAAAACCCTTGAGTTAAGCCTTCCCATGTATATCCTGATTTGCCTGATTTGCATCCTTCCTTTTTCTGCGTGAGTAAACCATCCATCCTTTTGGATGCGTATCACTTTACTCCTGGATACATGTGTTTTACTTACTAGATACATGTGTTTTACTGTGCTTTGTGTAGTGAAATCTAATTTGTGTGTGCTTTACTGCTTTACTGTTTTTGTGTGTAACTCTATTATTATGTGATTTCATTTGCAGAAAATAAAATGTAGTGGGTTTACTCTTAGGTTAAAACGTAGTGGGTTTACTCTTAGGTTAAAACATGGAGGTTTTTAGGAGGAGGTGAAAACCCCATATATGTGGGAGGAGCGACAGAAATGTTTAACAACATGGAAGTAGATGAATGAGGATTAATAACACTTGTTGATAAAATGAAGGAATTGGGATATACATGTGTAGAAAGTGTTCAGTTTTTTATGCAAACTGTTGGGGGTTTAGTGGAGTTAGTGATTGAAATGGTAGCTTGGGAAACATTTAATCAGCTGGATTTGTTTGAAGTGCTTGAGGTTAGGGGTGGGCACTTCGGTTCGGTTTATCCGAACCGAACCGAACTGATTCGAACCGAATTAGTAATAGAAAATCGAATGGTTCGGGATTTTGTAACCCGAATGGTTTAGTACCGAACCGAACCGAACCGAAACCGAACGGTTTGGCAAAAACCGAACCGAACCGAATGCTATATAATTTTTTTAATAAATATTAATAATAATAATAATAATAATAATAATAATAATAAAAAATTAATAATAATAATAATAATAATAATAATAATAATAATAATAATAATAATAATAATAATAATAATAATAATAATAATAATAAAAGAAGTAAATCCAAGTTCCTTGATGCTTGCTCCGCCGTTCAGTTCTCATTCTTATTGGTACCTAACCTTAAATTTTTTATTTGATTTCTTTATAGCTTGTTTTCTACATTGCACTTTTGTTGTTTGTCGCAATTGTTCTTTACCTCACAATTATATCTAACTTGAGTTATATTTACAATATTCAGTATTTTCCTTAGTTTCATGTTTTTCTATAAATTTAATGTGCTTTACAGTCATTCTAATTTTGATTTCCAGTGCATTATAATTATTTTCTAGTACTGGAATATATTTCGAGTGCACTAGCAATGACAGATTGTGTCCAAAAATTAACTATATAGTAATTGACACTTGTTCTTTTAATATCAACTATACAGATAGATGATTATTCATCTTATCAATAAAAATATTCCAACTGAATATTTTTATTTAATGTTTCATGTTTGTACTCTTTAAACATTGGATTTGAAGTTTGAACTACGTGATTCATGTTTGTAATGTTTGAACTTTGAACTTTGGATTCTAATTTCTAAGTATGTGATGTTTTGGTAATTAGATTGCTATTAGTATGTGATGTTAGTATTTACTATTTAGTAGTATGTTTAAACTTTGAATTATTATTTTGTTATATAACGTTTATATTTTAGATGTGGATTATGTGAATAGGTATTGTTTGGTAGTATGTTTGGAAAATTATGAAATGTTGAAATTTGATGATCGTAATTCTCGTAAAGTCTTAAACCGAACCGAAATCAAACCGATTGAAACCGAACCGAAGCCGAACCGAACTATAATGTTAAACCGAATGGTTCAACTTTTCTAAAACCAAAAAACCGAAACCGAAAAAATCCGAACCGAAGACCGAAGTGCCCAGCCCTAGTTGAGGTTTGGGCAGTTGGTGGAGAAGACAATAATGAAGACAATAGTTATGAAAGGGGAACGGATGAAAGTGAATGTGGTGGGAAAGATGACTTAGATTATGACATTAACATAGATCCAAGTGTAGAGTATTGTGGTAACGAAATTATGAAAATCGGGTGGAGGCAGCAACCAATAATCCCAAAAAACATATTAATCTTGATGTGGAGATTACTTACTCTGATGAAGATAGTGCAAGGGATAGCAATTCAGACAATGAGAGGCCAAAAGTAGTCCAATTTAGGCCTCATAGTGAGATGAAGTCTCCAAAATTCTGCATTGGATTAACTTTTAAGTTAAAGGAACAATTTAAAGAAGCTATAATGAATTATGGTTTTGCTAATGGGAAAGACTTGAAATACCTTAAAAATGATAATGTGAGATGTGTAGTTATTTGTAAACATGATGAATGTCCTTGGAAGATAACACTTAGGAAAGAAAAAAATGACATGAATTGGAGGGTGAGTACTTTAGTTAATAGGTATGAAGCGTGCACTTGGGTTTGGAAGAACAAAATGGTGAACTCTGCTATTGTTGCCAAAAGATGGAAGCATGAGATTGGATCAAACAGCACATGAAAAAGTGGAAAATTCTGTGAGAGAGTGGTGTCTGATGAGAGATTTGTGATCAATAATAGGCAAGCTTATAGGGCACTTGTGAAGGCAAGATCTGAGATTAAAAAAGAACAGCATGCTAACTTTAACAAGCTGTGGAGTAACTGTCAAGAGATTCAAAGAACCAATCCACATAGCAATTGCTACGTTGAGTTGACGGATTTGGAATATGATGGGCAACCCAGATTTTTAAGGTTCTATATGTATTGGGAAGCTTGTAAAAAGGGTTATAGGTACTTGACGCCTATAATTGGGGTTGATGGGTGTCACTTGAAAGCAAAGTATGGTGGACAGTTGTTGTTAGCAATAGGGATTGATGGTAATGATAGTGTTTTCCCACTTGCTTATGCAATTGTAGAAGGTGAGACAAAGGACTCTTGGAGTTGGTTCTTAGAAATGCTGAAAAATGACTTGTGTATTTTAGAAGATGAGGAAAAACAATTGACCTTTATTTCAGGTAATTAGCTCAATGATGTAGTTATATTACTTATTCACTAACCCTTAAATGTAATTGAAAATGACTTTGTCTATGTTAATATGTTACAGACAAGTAAAAGGGAATACTTCCTGCTTTTGATAGTGTGCTCCCTGGAGCTACTCACAGGTATAAACTGATTATGAAACAGTTTCGGCAATCTGATTTAGCATTGCATTCTGATTTGGCATTATGTTTTGGCATGCTGATTTATAAAACAGATTTGGCAATCTAATTTGGCATTGCATTCTGTTTTGGCATTCTGATTTCTGAAACAGTTTTTGCATTATGATTTATGAAACTATTTTGGCCTAGGTTTTATGTTAGGCATCTTCATGGAAACATGAAGCTTGCGGGGTTCAATGGGAAATCTATTAAAGACAACCTGTGGGAAGCAGCAAGATCGAGCTACAACTGTCAACCATTTCACACAAGCCATGAACAAGTTGAAGACAATGGATGCAAATGCTTATGCTTGGGTGATGGAGAAACATCCATTTGAATGGTCCAGGTCAAACTTCACAACTACTTCACATTGTGACATTTTAGTCAATAACATTTGTGAATCTTTCAATGCTGTAATTCTAGAAGCTAGGAAAGAACCATTACTGTCTTGCCTTGAGAGCTTGAGGAAAATCATGATGAATAGGTTTTATGAAAATAGAAAAAAGGAATGAAGTAGAATGCATCTGTGTGTCCTATAATAGCTGAAAAAAATAGCTATAAATGAAAAACATGCTGGGAGCTACATGGGAATTCAATGTGATGAATTTATATTTGAAATTAGGGGGGTGTATTTCCAAGTGTTTGAGCAGCATGAGGTAGATTTAGAGAAGAAGACTTGTAGTTGTAGGGGATGGGAATTGAGTGGAATACCATGTAGGCATGCTATATGGATCAAGAATGGAAATGGGCCTGTTTATAACTATGTCCACCACACCTACTTGGTTGAGAATTACTTGAAAGCATATCAAGGGAGTATACACCCCATAGAAGGGCCTTCAGAATGGCCTGCTAGTGATAGGCAGCCACCTCTCCCACCTTTGTACACAACAAAGGCTGGTAGGCCGCGCAACTTGAGGAAAAAATCTGGAGGGGAAGACAAGCAAGTGGTAACCAAGGATGTTGAGCATCTAAATCGATCCCATGTCAAAATACACTGTAGTTTATGCAAGAAGGGAGGCCATAACCGTAGAAAGTGTCCACTAAATCCTGCAATGAACAACGGACAGGTAAATGCATTAAAAAACTATGTTTCCTATCTCATATTCTTCTTGTAACTTATTATGTCATGTGTAGCATAATCCAAAGAAGAAGTGCAAGTCAAAGAAATAAGGTCATATTGGTACAAATATTGTTGATCCAAGTCCAAGTCAAGCACCCCCAACCATGGCAACTGAAATGGACATTGATATTCCAAATAGGTTCTTAGCAAATTTGGATATTGATACCCTAGTTTCTGAGTTGATTAGTGGCGGTGGCATAACTCCTGGACAACAACAAGGTGATTAATTGGTTCCCATTTATTTGCTAATCTGTTATTTTAATATGCTAATATGTTATTTTTGGTTTACGCAATGTTAATCTTTTGGTTTAGTATTTAGGTTGCCATTTAATCTTCTGGTTTGCAAATTGGTTGCCATTTAATCTTGGTTTGCAATGTTAATCTTCTGGTTTAGGGTTTAGGTTGCCATTTAATCTTCTTATTTCTAGTTTGCAAATTGGTTGCCATTTAATCTTCTGGTTTGCAATGTTAATATGCTAATCTGCTATTTTTATGCACTGTTAATATGATATAGGAGACATTGGAGGCAGTGTACAACATCACCAACAACATGAAGAAATTGATCTACACACCCCCTCTACTCATCCACCTATAGATGGGAAGGATGACAATACTCAACCTCAGACAGATGATTGCAATGCTCAACAAAGGAAAACTCCAACTCGGAAAGCAAAGCATGTTGCTGTCAAGCCTAGGAAATATCCAACCCGTACTGCTAGCCAAGCATTGAAGTCTAAATTCTCACCAACTTCTGTTGATGCTCCCTTCAATATCCTCTAATATAAAAAAGCCACAAGCAGTAGTAAATGCATTTTTGGCAAAATTTCCCGCCCAACAAAAAACGACAACGTTTGGTAATTGCGGTCGAAATGGTTCATATGGCCATAATTAATGATAGGCGATTAAATATGGTGATATTTAATTAGCTGCTTGGCATTTCCAATATGACGATTGGTTTTACAAGCTCATCGTAAATCTACATCTGGACCATTGGTATACGAGCACTTCCTAAACCTACTTATAAATAGGTCTCTTTGTTTTGAAGACAAAGACTTCAACTATAATACATCAGAGTGCTTCCGGAAAACACAGAAAATCAGCAGAATACACACTACAATTTTGCGGTGACATCTCTCCATTGGGCGTACATATGAAATCCTGGAATAAAGAGGGAGAGTGAAGCCATCAAAGGTAAAGAAGTATTCTTCCACGATAAAGAGGTCCATACATATTTTTTTGAATATAGATTATAGAATACAGAACATCTTTTTCTTCATGCTCATACATCCAAAGAGCATGTTGCTAATTACCTCACAAAGTATGAAGAAGGAAGAGTTTATGGTGTCAAATTTTTTTTGCAAACTTTCTTAGACATATGTATTGTCTCGAATCTTTTGCATCTTTGAAAGCTAAAGAAGAATTTGATATGGCCGGACAGCACAAGGAGGTACACAGCCGGTGAAACTTTTGGGGAGACAATCATTGTTAGATATGCTGAATGTCAGAGAAACTACACGGCAACCACCGGCAGCCATGTTCTGGACGGCTGTGGTGAGTTCATGCCCGGCGTAGAACTAGAAGATGGCACCCCAGTTGCGGCAACTTTTGGGGTGACAACCATTGTTGCTGCCTATGGTTCTAATACAATAGGCACTATACTTTTTATTACATACTACTTTCTATGCACACCAAATTAATTGAATTTTGCAGGTTACAGGACTATCTATACGATAACATATCACAATGTTACTGTACTACAGGGCTACTACAAAAGCTAAATAGCAGTTGCTTCTCATTTATAGGCAAAGTATTATCAAATTGATGTCAAAATATCCTGATCTATGTTAAGATCTAAGATCAGGATTATCACTATCCCTAATACATTATTTTGGAACCAACAGTGCTTGTGTTGTGTTTCTATTTTGCCGGTTTGTGGACTAAAAATATAACATCAAGTCACACATAGCAAATGATATTATCAATGCAAATAGATGGAACCAACCATGAAGATTTTAAAAATAGTTGACATTTTTAAAATAGAAAAAATAATTTATATACATTTTTTGTATAGAAAAAAATACAGTTGACATTTTTTGTATAGAAAAAAACTTTGTATACTTTCTACATCCCTAAGTAAAGTGTGAAAAGGAATTTTTTTTAACTGTGCAAATGTAATATATATATATATGTATATATATATATATATATGTATGTATTTTAATTTTGACAAGTCATTCCTCCGAAGTCTGAACACAATGCAATGCCTTTGTTTCTGTTTCTATTTTGCAGTGTTGTGGACTAAAATAGAAGAATCTATCACACATAACTAATGATAGAATCAATGCACAGAGCATGATTCAACCTATTAAGGAGTGACAGATATGAGCCATGAAGAAAGAAAAATAGTGTAGATTTTTCTGTTACATGTATATCCAGTTAGAAAATATAACAGATTTAAAGTAACATGTATATCCTGTAGGTCATCTAATAACACACATGAATCTATATGGAAATTATGTTGACAAATCTTAGTTTTTAGCAAAATGTAATCTACCAAAACATATTGAGAACATATTAAGCAGAGAAATGTATATCAACATCACATCTAGGTGTAAATTAATTAACACTACCAATAAACCTTTTAGCTTCTCAACAGTATCATGCATGCTTAGGAATCAGTTTAAATACGAAAATAATCTACTAAATTGATACCAATCTGTATAAAAAAGTAAAAATGAAGTAGATTGAAAACTTAGCTCAAAAGTGAGGGTTTACTGAAACGATTCGAACTCAAGTCACCGATCGCTAAAACTATAGACTCAGATTCATTTTCCCCTTTTTTTTTGGGAAAAAAACACTATCGCAAATATAGATCACATAAAAAACCAGATATAGAACTGTTACACAGCTCAATCGCGAATCGGTAAGCATTTAAAGTAGTCGTGAAAGCTCTACACTGAAATTGCGGCATTACCTGTTTGCATGTCGCAATCCGGTGTTCAAGACTTAGTCATCTTCATAGTGAAGGTGTTTATAGCCAATCCTTGTCCGATTGAAAGCAAGAACCTAAACATGGCTTTCTCAGAAATGAAAGAACAACAAAAAATAGGATGAAATTACCAGAAATTGCACTCAGATTCCCATATTAACAAGTAACCTTTCTATAGAAAGCTAGGGTTTCTTCACCGTGCCATAGTTTAGAGAGGGAGTACAGAACCGTTCCTGAGAAGAGAGAGAGTAGCTCACGGAGAAGATAAGCTAAGGAGCAGAGAGCGAGATAGCGATTAGATTAGGCAACCAAAGTCGCAGAAAAGGCGCACTCAACTGGAGTATCACAGTCAACCAAAACACTAAACCAGATTAGGCAACCAAATTAGGAAATGATATAGCAAATATCTCATATATTTGTCTACTTAATAATGTTTGTATAATAATATTTATAATTTATAATACAATAGTAAAGTATTACTTAGTCCACAAACTTAGTATACTATATTTATTATTATTATTGTGCTGTGACAAATTTATAGGTTTAAGAATAATTATTTCAATAATTTGTAATTGTATAATACTTATTTATTTATGTTGTGTGTTAACGTATTTTCATTATTGTTTCTATTTTGTAATTTCAAAATTTTAATTGAATAATGTATTCAATTATTCACACAATTAGACAACACCTTGAACAATATTCATACAATGCTGTAAAAGACGCTGTAGAACAACAATCTTCACAACAGTTTCCAAATTGGATAGCTGCAATTGGCAATGGCAAAATTGGTGTCCCCTAATGATGGTTATGCAAAAGTAGAAATACCCAATACTGTGTTACTACCGTCCAATGGTGACCATATAGAAACCATTGTTAGGAGTACATTTCCTATGTTTGCTAATGGTAATTCTAATGCAAGTTATCTACAAGGGCGTGCTATTCTAGCTCCTACTCTCGAGGTAGTTAACTCAGTGAATAACTATATGAGTTAATTGCATACGGCTGAAATTAGAACATATTTTAGTTGCGACACAGTATGCAAAGCTGATGCAGACGCGGGGATACTTGGTGATGTTCACACACCTGAATTTTTGAACGGCATTTGAGCTTCAGGTATTCCAAATCATGCATTAACTTTAAAAATTGGCTCACTAGTCATGTTACTAAGGAATATTGATCACTCAGTTTGTAATTTGAACTATTGTATACCACGAGAACCACTTTGTAATTTGAAATTTTTAATATAGTAATATCTTAATTTTACTATATCCACGACTGGATATAATTGAATTTTGCCTATTGCCTATACCATGATATCCACATTGTAATTTTACAATATTCTGGGGAATATCCATCCGTGCATCGCACGGGACAATTACTAGTTGACTATAATAGCTGCTAGTGAATGTGACCTTTTTGTTTTTGGTATTTTGGAAAGTTGTAATGATGGCAAAATACTTGTTCTTTTGCCAGCCAAAACACTTAAAATTTTGTTGGTTTTTGGTTCTAATTACCAATGATATGCTTAAGAATGCAATTGTTAATTTCTAGTGACAAGAAACTTATTAAGAATGCAACTGTTAATGTTAATTTCCAGTTGAATGCAAATGTTTCATGCAAATGTTTATTTCTCCATGGCAAAACACTTGTTCGTTCATTGTTAGTATGACCATAATAGCATAACCATTGCCAACTAACAAAATTAACTGTTGCCAACTAACAATAATAACCATTGCCAACTAACAAAATTAACCATTGCCATAACACCATTACCGTAACCATTGCCAACTAAATTCATATAACACACATCACTATGGTAATAGCATTACCATAACCACTCCTAACATTACCACTGCCATTAATGGTTCTAACACTACCACTGCTATTAATAGTTCTAACATTACCACGGCTAATATTACACATCAATTGTAATTGTAGGACAACATCATAATCTTATTAGCACCTACAACTTTTTCTATATAAACAAAAACAATTCCCAAAAAAAAAAAAAAAAACAGTATTACAACCACTAATAGCAACCCTATGTAAATGTTCTTCATGCCCGGTTCAACACGCGTTGATCGAATTTCTTCAAGTTGTCCAGTCAACCGTTCAATTTCTTGTTCATTATTGTTACGTTTATCCTCTTTAGCAAGTCAGGAATTATCATTTTTTATCTTGAACACATGAGAGAATCGAACCACTCGAAAAACGAACAATTTTTAATCCCCTGATGTTGTTTGTGAATTAAACCAAAAAATTACGCCCAAAAAAGTAAACAACAAAATCAAATTTTTACTTACCCTTTCATTGGAGCAAACCAAATACCTACGGCCTGGATTTTGATTTGCCCATGAAGTACAAAGCTTCATATTGTTTCCACATATACATACTCTGTCATTAAACTCTCCAACATTGCGCCTCATAATCGTGGAACTTGATCCATACGATGACTCCATTGCGGCATTGCCAAACAACAAACCAACGAGCTTCACTTCACACTGTATATTAGAGTTATGAGATTTGGGCGAAAATGGCGACCTACATGCTGAACGACGACCTTAAAGATAAAAGAAATGAGAAATGACAACTTTGCCCCCCACATTTAACGTCTACTTAACACAATCTCTAAGGTAGGACCACAGGTGGTTACTTAAAAAAAAAAAAAACGGAGGACTACTCATGGTCGTTTAAAAGTTGGATGACCAGGGCAGGCATATGGCTAATACTCGGAGGACCAATGGAGTTATTAACTCTATTTTTATTTGTATAACTAAACTCCCTAATTTCCCATCAAATGCTTTGTCGATCTTCACTTTCTTCCGCAGACCACAACACCGTCTCACCACCGCACCTCCTCACCGCAGTAGCACAACACCTCTTCATCGCAGACCGCCTCTGGTAGAGGAGTGTCGCACGGTAGCTCACACAACCTCAGGTGAGGAGGTGCGACGGTGAGACGGTGTTGTGGTCTGTGGAAGAAAGTGAAGATCGACAAAGTATTTGAAAGGAAATTAGGAATTTTAGATATAAAATAAAAATAAAAATAAAAATACAAATATACATTTTGTATCAAAATGACAAAAAAATCCCCATAGTTAACTCTAGTTTAACGATTTTATTAACGGAGGACAAAAATGGTCATGCCACAATAAAATTAGCACCAATATAAGATGTTTTGAAAAAAAAATGACTAAAAATGAAACGTCACCAATAAATATAGAACAAAAAATGGAATTAACTCTTACAATTAAATTATTTCTCATGGTTTCCCATACTTATTTTAGTAATAATATAATCACATAAATTATATTATATCTATTTTTTTAAAGATACTTGCAGAGAATCAAATCATAAATGATACTTTTACATTAATCTTATAATCAAATAAATGTATACTTTCAAATATTAGAATTATTTATAATTTTATTATCTAAATAAATAATAAAAATTTTTATCTGAACATCATAGGTTAATTAATAAATTATTTGTTCAAATTCAAACAATAATAATATCATAAAACATAATTGATCCAACCCATTTTATCAATTTATTCATTGTTATAATTTATATAGTTATGTATTAATCTAAATATTTTTAAAATATTATAATAAATCCATGTCGTGCTACTAGTTTGGACCATATTCTATCAATCGTTACCTTCAGTCCTTCACTCTTTCATTTTTTATCTTGTTGCTTCCCGTCAATGGACACAAAATCTATTGCTCAGAAGCAGAACATCTCCGACTGAACTGCTGGAAACTGTACTCCAAGAAGAAAGTAAACGAGGAAGTAGAGAAAGGAATTGGCCTTTTCATGTTTCTGTGAACAAAAGCAATGGTGTCAGTCATTCTTACCACACAGCCTCTAAACTCAGCCTCTTCTTCCATTGAATTTCATGGCATTTTGGGCTCAAATTTCATCCGATGCCCTTGTTTTTCGATTACCGGAAGACCCATTTATGCCGTTCCAATCGAGAGGTCCCGGCAAAAGAAGCAGAGTACGAGTATCGGCCCCGTAAGAATCGCTTGCTCATTGGGTAACGCTATAATCGACAAAAAAGAGCTGGATTTCAAGCCTTCTTTCGATGAGTACTTGAAAGTTATGGAGTCCGTTAAAGAAAATAAGAAAACGGTTGGTGAAAGAGTCGGACAAAAGCGCGATTCTGGGGAAAAGAAAAAGGCCCTCTCAGATTCTATGCCGCCGAATGAGAAGTCTGGTGGTGAGAAAACTCAAATTCAATCGAGAACTGCGACTGCTAAAACCTAATAATGACAATTGTAGAGTTGAAGAAAGAAATAGGGTTGTGCTTATGGAGATGGACAGAGCTGCCTTCAAATCAATGGAAGAGTATGGTGAAGATGATAAGCCCAGAGTGTCAAAAGCCGAGATGCTTGCGAGAAAGTGAGTTGTGTTTACGCTTCTCAATATGCACATTGCAAATTTCTTGCTTAGCATAATTATTATATTGCTTCTAGCTAATGGTGAGAATGTTTTGATCTTTTGGCATATAAATCTCAGTTATGACTAAAGTAATTATGTCCCAGTATCAATATTTTCAGCAAGTGTGGTTGGTTCAAGAGTTCTGACATTCTTTATCCATCCTGAGTAACTTGCATTATATTCATGCCATTCCTGGTTCCCCATATCCATAACATTACCTCCTGGACATGTTGCTTGATCCCAAATTACTGTATTTATAAAAATATTTCTTTTATGGATTTCCCTAAAAGATAAATCTGGACTTTTGGAGATATTAAACTTTATTTCTTATTTTCTTGAATTCTTTGAATCAAGCAAAAGGTAAAAAAAAACTTGCCTTAAAGCCTTAAGTTTCTTGTTGAAATATTACTGGGATTTGGATACTCAAAAATGACTGACACTGTCGTTCTTGGTGCATGTTGCTCAAAATATGTTAGTGATCAAGGTGGTCATAGAAAACTTCATTTCTGATTTTTTTTTTTTTTTTTTTTTTTTTTTTTTCAGTCTGAATGGTGCAGATATTGACATGCCTGAGTGGAAGTTTTCTGAAATGATGTGAAGTGCTAAAATCAGATTTTCAGATCATTCTATGTCAAGGATTATTCAAATATTGGGTAAATTGGGAAATTGGAGGCGAGTACTACAAGTTATCGAGTGGACTCAGTCACGTGAGCGCTTCATATCATACAGGATAAGGTATATTTGATCTTTCATCTCCCTACAAATTTTTGTCACAAACAATTGATATGCTTGAGTTGTTAAAATTGTGAATTCAGCTTTTAATTTTTACCTGGTAATTGTGGTGACTTTCTTCAAGTATTTTCACACATTAAAAATACTTATTTGTCTTATACTTGCATATGCATGAAATATTACCACGTGATGTGTATTTTTGGAACTTCTCTTAATGAGGCAATGATGTCTCTTCTTTGAAGAGTGAAATGTACTCCAGCATTCAAACCATTATCTTTAATCTTATCTTCTGTCTAATGTTCATTGACTAAAAATCTTGTGCTACTTTAAATTATTCCAAAATATTGCAAAGATTATTTTTCTGATGCCAGCATTCAAATCTTTCCTTCTGTTAGGTCCCATACTCATAGAGTCACAGAATAGTCCCCATTGGAGAAAAAGTCCAACCTTATCATCTCTCACAGTGTCAACTACAGAGTCAACTTGGTTATATATATATATATATATATATATATATATATATATATATATATATATATATATATATATATATATATATATATATATATATATATATATACCCAGAGTATATATTAGTTAATCAAATTTTCAAAAAGAATTAGTCAATAATTAAAATTCTTAAACTTTACTCCAACTAAAATATTTTAATTAAAAAAAAATTAACCAAATTTTGTTGGTCTATAGATTAACCTATTTTTCAGTTACCAAAATTTGCACACCCATACATTACATGGAAACCTTATCATCTCTCAAAGTACGTTTCAACTACAGAGTCAACAACCATGGCCGACGGTCTCATCTCCAGTGTTGTGGAACAGCTGATCAACATCCTGAAGCACCAAGCCCAGGAGCTAAAACGAGCTTTGGGTGTGGAGAAGGAGATCGCAAGCCTCTCATCAAAGCTCGAGAAAATCAGGGAGGTATTGGATGATGCAGACAAGAGAAGCTTTAAGGAAAAGGGCATCAAGCTCTGGATTGAAAATATCAAAGACTTCTCCTACCAAGTGGACGATGTTCTGGACGAGTGGAGAACCAGAACTCTGAGACAACAGATCGAGAGTTCAGCTCCAGAAAGCAGCTGCAGCTCTTTCCTGCCTTCATGTATCCAATTCAAAAGGTTTGTTATGCATCGAGACATCGCCAAGAAAATAATTGAGCTTGATTCAACACTTGATCAGATTACGAAAGAGAAAGATCAGTTCAAATTTGATTATGCATCTATAACACACACTTCTGCAGCATCACACTCTGATCAAGAATTGATGCGAGTTACCACTGCGTTTGATGTGGATGCGTCTGAGATTCAAGGTAGGAAATCCGATGCCAGTGCTTTAATAAGCAAGTTAGTGGAGAATTCTGGAGAAGAAGAAGCAAGAAATGGAAATGGAAATGGAAATGGTCCCCCTGTGATTTCCATAGTGGGCACGGGAGGGATAGGGAAAACTACCCTTGCTCTACTAGTCTTTGAGGATGAACAGATCAAGACTCATTTTGGGGATGAAAGGGTGTGGATTTGTGTTTCCGACCCTTTTGACCAGATCAAGATTGCAAAAGCCATTGTTGAGTCAACCACTAAAAGTTCCACGGATCTGTCCCAACTCCAACTGTTACTGGAAAAGATCCGAAGCACTTTGTCTGGGAAAAGGTTCCTACTTGTGATGGATGATGTGTGGACAGAGCAGTATGCAAAGTGGGAGCCATTGAAGAACTCTCTCAAGGATGGACTCCCTGGGAGTAGAATCTTGGTGACCACAAGGAGTGAGAGGGTTGCTACAATGATGGGAAGTGTGTATCTGCATCAGTTGGATCTAATATCTGACTCGGAAGCTTGGTTGTTGCTTAGCAGGATAGCATTTTCCGGGAGAAGGGAAGAGGATTGTGAGGAACTGAAAGATATTGGCCAGAAAATTGTTCAAAAGTGCAAAGGACTGCCACTTGCTGCTAGTGTCATGGGACGCCTGCTACGTTTCAAAGACACTAAAGATGATTGGCAAAATGTTTTAGACAATAAAATTTGGGAGTTGGAGAAAGTGGTAACAGACCTCTTCCCTCATTTGTATCTAAGCTACAATGATTTGACCCCAAAGATGAAGCAATGTTTCTCATATTGTGCTGTCTTTCCCAAAGATTATGAAATAAAGGTAGAAAAGCTCATCAGAATTTGGATGGCACAAGGTTATCTGACGATGGAATCAAAAGGCAGGGAGTTATTTGGGGGTTTAGCAATGCGCTCTTTCTTCCAAGATTTGAAGAAAGATCACATGGATTCCAACATTATCATATCTTGCAAAATGCATGACATAGTGCATGATTTTGCCCAGTTTCTTACCAAAAATGAATGCTACCGTATTGACCAGCATGAGGATAAGGTCCAGATTAAAAATCTACGTCATCTGTCATGGCAGAACACTGGTAGGAATATGAATCTCTCTTCCATTTGTGATATTGGAAAACTTCGCAGCTTTTTTGCTGAATCTCCCGAACAACTTATTCCTGATTTGTTCAATGGTCTGAAATCTGTGAGAGTATTAAGATTGCATGACTGTGAGTTGCAAAAACTGCCAAGGAAGATAGGAAATTTGGTTCATCTAAGGTACATTGATTTAAGTAGGAGCGATGTAGAGGAGTTACCCGATGCAGTTTGTTCTTTATATAACTTGCAAACTTTAGATCTTAAAGAATGTAGGTATTTCTCTAGGCTACCCAAAGGGATTGGCAATTTGATAAACTTGAGACACCTTAACATCAGAGGCACCTATAGGCTGGAGATGATGCCCCTAGGTATTGCAAAGCTAACTCAGCTTTGTAGTTTAAGTGAGTTTAAGGTGGGGAAAGAGTCAAGTAAGTTGGGATACATGGAGAAGCTGAACCAACTCAAAGGGGAGCTGTCCATATTTTTTTTGTGCGATCTGAATAATGCAGCAGATGTGGAGGAAGCAAAGAAAGCAGAATTAAGAAAGAAGAAGCACATCAAAGAATTGTGTTTGGATTTCAGTCGGGGAGTCGTTGTGGAAATAGATGTGATGGAAGCTCTGAAACCACCTCCGGAACTGCAAACCTTGAAATTTAATTGGTACGAAGGAACCCACTTCCCTTCCTGGATTACACTGTCCCTTGATAATCTACGTATTCTTGAAATCAATGGGTGCATAAATTGTTCATCTTTGCCTCCATTAGGCAAACTGCCTTCTCTGGAGACTCTTATCATATGGGGCATGGAAGAGCTAAGATATGTAGGGAGTGAGTTTTTTGGAGTAGCAGAAGTAGGTGTTGTTGCTTTTCCAAAGCTGAAGAAATTGCTGTTCTCATATTGTTCCGAGTGGGAGGAGTGGGAAGACTTCAAAGAAGAAGCAACAATAATAATAATGCCATGCATCAGGGAGTTGAAACTATTTCGTTGCAGCAAACTTAAGATAGTGCCACATCACCTCTTAAGTAGGCTGGAGTCTTTGAAGATCGAATATTGTCCGGGTCTCAAAGTTGAATAGATCGAGTGAAATATGTGACACTCCAAATGCCGATCAGGTGTCAAAATGGTGACGTCATCGTGCTTCCAGGTAAGGCCACCACTCCTACTGGATGGGAGTCGTACGTACTTGTAACTTTATGGTTACCAAGTTAACAGTCCGGCCAACTTGATTATTTGACCAAAAATTATCAAGTTTATCTCTTTTACACTTTGAATCTCTACTACTTTGTATATCTATTCGGTTTGATGTTAAGGTGTGAACTAAATATATTTTGAGTTTTTGTTATATATTATTAAAATATGTTTTGATAATTTTTCTATAATATAATATGTTTTGCAAATTGTTTATATTTATCAAGCTAGTATATATGTTGAGGAGTTGTTATGATATAATTTGTGACTATTGACTTGAGCAAGGTATCCTTGTACTGGTGTACATGTCTAAGCTTGTGCTTATGGCTACTAATGTATGCACTATAAGAAATTTGTAATTGGGTCAATTCAAAGTGGTGGTTTCATATGAGATGAGGTTTTGAACACCCGATCTTTTTTAAAGGATGATTGTGCTTGATCACTCAGGTCAACTTAATTGATTCAAGTAATTATTTTTTAGTGGGATAAAATTGTTTTTAAAGAATTTACAAAAAGAAAAAAATCATCATAAAAGATAATTAGGGTCCGTTTGGAAAGCAGGAAAATGACTTTTGGAAAATGAGTCATTTTTCGGAAAATATTTTCCTTTCTATGTATGGTTGTATTCTGGAAAACTGTTTTTGTGTGTTTGGTTCATTTTCTAAAAAATGAGTAGAATTGTATAATTAAACATTTTAATTATTTTATTTAGAATATTACAACATGTATAATAAAAGCAAATAATGATGAGATAAAATTTCTTGTTGTGAACTTTTATTATTTCTTTCCTTTCGAAAATAAAAGCAAATAATGATGAGATAAAATTTCATCATTAATAAGCATACAGTGGGAATATGCATTTACCATCATTTTTTCCCAACTTCTCTCTTCTTCTCCTTGCACAAAAACCTTTTTTTGTTGAGTTAATACCCAATTTTGTTCTAAACGACTTTGGTGATTTAATGTAGTCCTAGACTTTTGTGTTTTTTGCTCAATTTAGTCCTCAGTTTGTTATTTTGTTAAATTGGTGTTAAATAAATGGACAATTTAATAATTTCAATATTGACCTCTTTTACTCTTAAGCTCTGCAAAGTGTGAAATCCTTCTTTCTTTTACGAATTACTCTTAGAATTACTCCCAGACCTGCGAATCAAATTTTATATTCGCGAGTTTGGGAGGTCTGGGAGTAATTCTATGAGTAATTCGTAAAAGAAAAAAGGTTTTCACACTATGCAAGTTTAGGAGTAAAGAGATATCAATATTGAAATTATTGAATTGTCCATCTATTTAACACCAAATGGACGGAATAACAAACGGACGACTAAGTTTAGGAAAAAACACAAAAGTCTAGGACTACATTAGGTCACCAAAGTCGTTTAGGACGAAATTGAGAAAAACCATTATAATCGATGACCATTTTGGGTATTAATCTTTTTTGTTATATGGTCACCTAATGGATGCATCCACAATGCTTTATTAGAGGTGAAGTGCGTAGCATATATGTGATTGCAATTATAATAGTTCATTCAAATTTAGGTTTGTACCACCTCGGTCCATTTGCAAGTGACTGAGAATTTTGTTAGGAGTATTACTTTATAATAAGGTGGTGTTTGGTTTGAAATTTTTGTACCTTACTCCTGGTTTTGATACTCATTTTCATGTTTATTTGCTTACTTTTGTTATCCGACAAATGAATTCAAATCCTTAAAAGTAGTTACAAATTCTCATTACCCTTTTACTCCTCTACTTTTGAATAATTGAATCACAAATAAGAAAGAGAAATGAAAAAATAAAAATAAAAATGTCATTGTCAATGCATTAAATATGAAATTTTAATATATATATATATATATATATATATATATAGAATCGCACTCAGGTGCGAATGCTTCGCCCAGGCGCGAAATAGAAATGAATTCTGTCCGTCCACATATCAAGATCTAAGGGATGAGAAACACTTATTTTTAAAAAAAAATGCGGTGGCATTTTCGTAAATAATTGAACATCGAAGTGCAAGTAAAATGTATTACAAGTGCATGTAAAATGTATTATAGGTGCATGTAAAAATTTACACTGAGTATCAATACTTAGTTGCACCTATAGTTCTAAGTAGTTGCACACATTGTTATAAGTAGTTGCATCTAGGTGTATGAATGTTTGCGAGTAGTTTTCAGGGGTATTACTATCCGCTGAACTCAGATCAATGAATGTTAACAAGGCAAAATTACATGCACTTATAGGTGAAAGTAAGTGCACCTATAGTTATAAATAATTGCACACATAGTTATAAGCACACCCAGGTGCATGAATGTTTGCGAAAAGTGAATGCTAACAAGGCAAAATTACATGCACTTATAGGTAAAAGTAGGTGCACTTGTAAGTGATTTTACTTGCACTTCGATGTTCAATTATTTACGAAAATGCCACCGCGTTTTTTTTTTAAGTTATTAGATCTGGACACGTGTCGCGCGCTGATTCGTTCGCATATTTGGTGATGCGGGGCTCTGTTTACTCTGTTTTTTGTGGTGTATTTTCCAAACGTTGATGGTGCATATTTGTTGAACTATTGGTGTTGCCGCACCGTAAGACACTGCCGCACCTGAACCCGCATATATATATATATATATATATATATATATATATATATATATATATATATATATATATATATATATATATATATATATATATATATATATATATATATATATATATGTATGTATGTATGTATATACTTTTGTTCAAATGCGGCCGCTTGACAAAATACATCAACAGTATTAACAAAAGGCATCAATAGTGTTAGGAAAAAACACAACAATGAAATGCATAAATATATCAAAAAACACACAACACACTCAAAAAAAATGCATCATATAACTCCCCGCCCCTAATGTTGTATTTTCGAACACTGTGTGGTGCTTTTAGTCATATTTAATGGTGCGTTTATGGTGATGCGTACCTAATTTGTGCATGTTTTTTGTTGTGCATTTCATAACATGGATGGTGTATATTCGTATACCTATTGGTGCGGCCGCTTCGAATGCACGGGAAGGCACAGCTTCACCTGAACTCGACTATATATATATATATATATATATATATATATATATATATATATATATATATATATATGTATATATATATATATATATATGTATGTATGTATGTATGTATGTATGTATGTATCTATATATGTATGTATCTATATATGTATGTATGTATGTATGTGTATATATATATATATATATATATATATATATATATATATATATATATATATATATATATATACATACATATATAGATACATACATACATATATAGATACATACATACATACATACATACATACATACATACATACATACATACATACATATATATATATATATATATATATATATATATATATATATATATATATATATATATAATTGCACTCAGGTGCGAATGAAGCTCCTAGGAAGGAATATGCGAATCAATCAGCGCGCGACACGTGTCCAAATCTAATGGATTAAAAAAAATACGGTGGCATTTTCGTAAATAATTGAACAATGAAGTGCAAGTAAAATGTATTATAGGTGCAAGTAAAATTTACACTGAGCATCAATACGAAGTGCACCTATAGTTATAAGTAGTTGCATTTATAGTTATAAGTAGTTGCACCTGTAGGTATAAGTAGTTGCACCTATAGTTATAAGTAGGTGCACCCAGGTGAATGAATGGTTGCGGGAAGTGAATGTTAACAAGACAAAATTACATGCACTTATAAGTGAAAGTAGGTGCACCTATAGTTATACGTAGTTGCACATATAGTTATAAGTATGTGCACCCAGGTGAATGGCTGGGTGCGGGAAGTGAGTGCATGTTAACAAGACAAAATTGCATACACTTATAGGTAAAAGTAGGTGCACCTATAGTTATAAGTAGTTGCACCTATAGTTATAAGTAACACAAGGCAAAATTACATGCACTTATAGATGAAAGTAGGTGCACCTATAGTTATAAGTAGTTACACCTATAGGTATAAGTAGGTGCACCTAGGTGAATGAATGGTTGCGGGAAGTGAATGTTAACAAGGCAAAATTACATGCACTTATAGGTGAAAGTAGGTGCACTTGTAAGTGATTTTACTTGCACTTCGATGTTCAATTATTTACGAAAATGCCACCGCATTTTTTTTTAATCTATTAAATCTGGACACGTGTCGCGCAGTGATTCGTTCGCATTTTCCTCCTGGACACTTATTCGCACCTGAGTGCAGTCCCTATATATATATATATATATATATATATATATATATATATATATATATATATATATATATATAGGGTGCGGATCCCATGAGACCCCTATACTAAATGAGATGGTGTGATGACATCTCATCCATTTGTACATTTGTAATGGATGGAGGAGATTGATTTAGGAATGTAATGTAAAATAGGGAATATTATTAATAGGAGAGTTTAAAAGTAATTGTATTAATGTGTTAATTTTGGTTAAAATTTGATTAGAATCTTTGCCATAATTAAATATCACAAATATAATAGAAATGATTAGTGGTCAACTATGCACAGAAGCTGTTGGAGCCCAACCGTGAGCAGTAAGTGGGTGTTCCGGACGTAACTTCATTCGACGAACATGTCTCATACCACAGGTAAGAGATTTGCAGACTCAATTTTTTGTAATGTGTTTTGTACACTGGTCTGTGCATCCAGGTTGTATGGCGTGTGCTTCGTTTTGTTTGTACGGTGTTGGCATTGTTATGTGTTGGTGGCTGTATTTATATTAATATGCGAGGGGGACACGAAGCATTTGGGGGGGGGGGGGGGTTTGTGTGTGTTTTTATTGGAAATAGACGAATGCACATGCAGTGGATAGTTGGTGAATGGCGAGTGGGTGAAATTTTCCAGTTGGCGTTGTCATGACGTGCATTTCAATGGTTTTGAAGCGGTGTGACATTCGTCAAGGTTACACAAATTATTTTTAAAATGGGTGTGTGTGGAATTACTTGTGGGATCAATCTTTCATGAGTTAGACGGAATGGGTGGGATTTGGTTTGTGGGTGAATTGAGGTTTGTGCGTTCGTTTAATGCGGCGTGTGCACCTTACTCATTCGAATTAGAATGGTTATGCTTGAATTGAAGTA